TTATAGGAAGTCTCTACATCAATCACATAGCAGGTGACTTCAGACTTCAAGTCTCTAAGTTGACACTTCACCCGAATTTTTCCCAACGGTCTTGACCCACTAGTATTGAACCCATAGATAACAGTTCCCGTAGAGGCTAGCTTGCTGGCGGGAATTCCGAGGTGGTACATCAACCGAAGCGGCATGATGCTAACAGCGGAACTCGGATCAACTTGAATCCGATTGACAACGCTCGAGCCAATATATCCGGTGAAATATAGAGGCCTATCATGTTTTGAATTTCTGACTTGCATATCTTCTTTTGTGAAAGCAATGCAAGGAAATTTCGTGGCTGCCAGATTGCAATGCTGAACTGATGACTCTGGCTTTTCAGGAATTGGCTTAATCTGAGTCAGGAATACCTCAGAATCAGCCAAGGCTTCTTGTAAAGCTTCTCTGGTATCTTTCGATAGGCGTAATAACTCGTATAGCATGATCCTTGCTGGGATGTTAGCCAACTGAGTCATAACATCGAAGCGGTATGGAGTATTCGAGCTTTCTGGTTTGTCTCGTCCGATCGGTCGGTTGAAACGAGACTGCTTCGGAATTTGAACTTCTTTATGTTGGGGTTCCTTTTCTTTTTGTTTAACCGGTTGTTGCGGCTTCCCAGTAGCTATAGGAGGGGTTGCAACTACCCCCAGCTCCGTAAGAGTTTTAGCATCTGGGTTAGAGGCTTCAGGATATTTATAATGGTATTCATTCCCACCTCTTGTAGCGAAAGATTCTTGCTCCTCTTCAAAAAGCGGTAAAGCTGGAATCTCTTCATCATTCTTTTCGGGAATTGCCGAGGCTCCATAACAAGACTTCTCTTTTCCTTTGCCGTTTGATTTCTTCTTTAATGTGGATGTCGTCCACTGTTCATCTTCAAGCAAATCCGGATGAACCCAAAGGATTTCGCCATTGGGGGTTGTGTGAGATACAAGCCCTTTTTTATGCTGTCCATGAGGGTCATCGTTGATGGTCTGCATCTTGACCTTTGATACTGGTTCGGCTTGAAACCAGGATAAAGGAACCGATCCGAAGCTGATAGACACTGCATTCGCACCTACTTTCTTCTCTTTCAGTTTTGGTGTTACGATTCCAACATCGATTAAGGTTTGTATTTTGTCTTTCAAGACATAACACGTCTTAGTGGGATGGTGGACCCTTCGGTGATATGCACAATATTTCGAGTCATTCGTCTTCTTCGCTTCTTCTTGGTTTGTGACCGGTGGAAGCTTGATCTTGTTGTTATCCAGCAGGTATTTGAAGATGACCGGAACTTCATCATCCTTAAAAGAATACTCATTCGGGAATTTAGGCTCTGAGGCCTTAAACTGCTTCGGAGGCTGTTGATTCTGATTCGGCGCTAATTGGAAAGATGACTACTGTGGTTGTTGTTGTGGCTGTTGTGATGTTTGATGCGCGTCAACAGCAGCCCCGGACCCTCTTCCTTTGCCTCGAGAGTTAAAGTTCTGTTTTTGAGGATTATCTTGTGGCAGTCCTCTCTCTAACTTCTTTCACTTAAGAAAATGCTCGGCTTGTTCACCTCTCACTTTTAACTCCTTCCAAGTTTTAGAAGGCACAACCCCCATGACTTCTAACACATCTAGCGACAAGTTATTGTGACATGTCTGTAGGATAAACTCTTCTGTGAGTGGATCTCGGCAATTTACCACTTTATTCCAGAACCGCTTGACGAAGACATCAACTAACTCCCCGTCCTTCTGCTTCTCGTCCAACAAGGTGCCGATAGAGACTTCGGTGTCGTCGTCGAAGAAATTGGTGAGGAACAATCCTTCCATATCCTCCCAGCTAGTGATACTTCCGGGTTTAAGACGTCGGTACCAATCGAAGGCAGGCCCACGAAGGGTTCCTACGAATGACCGAACCATCAAAGCTTCGTTTCCGGATATAGTGCCAAGATGCGACTTGAAATAGATCAAGTGCTGAGTTGGTGAACCCCTGCCATCAAAAGGAGTAAAGTTAATCAAATTAAACTTTGGGGGATAAGGAATCAGATCCCACTCCCTCGGGTACGGGTATGGAATGCCTGTTTTCTTCACTTCTTGGGCCGTCATCAAAGCATTAACTTTGCTCTCAAGATCTTGCATCTTCTTGTCTTCTTCCTCACTCTTCTTCAAGTAGATTTGAGGAGGTTGAGTGGATGATTTAGCTGGACCATTTTCGGAATTGTCTTTATCTAGAGGATGATCAGCAAAGATAGTCTCATCTTCTTCATTATCCACCTCAGCTATACGTACAGGAATAACGTTACGCTGGCTGGATTCTGCCTTTTGGCTCGATTCCGGTTGATGTTGTTGAGCTTGCAAATCTTGCATCTGCTGCATTGTCAACTCCATCTCGGTTTTGATTTTAGCTCTAATTTTCTCACGTTGTTTAGCTAACGCTTCCTGTAATATCTGAGCCAATTGATCTGGCGTGATTGCGAATGATTCTCTGGCTCGCCCAACACTAGATGTGGTATCATCCGACGCAACAGCAGAACAAGTATCTGACAGTTCCTCCTCTGAAGATAACCCCTCGTGCATTCTCTTGTAGTCTCGACGTCGGTTGGCTCTTCTTTGTAACCGCGACATTCTTTGAGATAGACCCCGCTCAACTCTCCCTCCCGGAGAGAAATCAAGATCAGGGTTGACTAATTATTGTTTTTCTCTGTCGGTCATATTAATAGTAACCTCAGGGAATTCATCTCGTCGAATTGCAGGTCTCTTCTTGTTGAAGCGTCTCACTTTGGGTCTTGACGCTTCAGTGGAAAGTCTTTGAAATACGGACGGAGACTCTTGTTGAATTAGTTTTAGAGCAACCACATTCTGTCAATACTGCTTTAATGAGCCTCTCACAGGAGCAGTGAGACTCGTCTTCTCGGACAATTCTTTTTCTTGAGTTATGGTTTTGATAGTACAGCTCATCGTTATTGTGATTTGAGCAACCTATCTGTTGTTTTTGAACCTTGTTAACATGCACAGGACGACTAGTCGTCGCCTCTGGGCGATCCAAGGTTGAATTCTTAAATCCACCCCTTTGCGGGAATGGATTTTTCATGGGTCCTAAACGAGAATGAATTGGTATTTTCTCGTTTTGGACTTGTACAGTTCTAACCGGAGGGTATTTACGACCCCCTGTATAAGAAACCATTAAAGGTTTATCTGTTAGATCTGTGTGTTCTTTAATTAGGGATTTGCCTCGATCGTTAGCCAAAGGATCGAGGCGATCCGCTATTGTGACTTTAAATTTCGATAGGTCGGGACTGACCCATGGTTTCACTGGTGATGCGGTAGACGGACCCGGAATGGATGTCTGCAGCGTCTTCGGAATCCAAACTTTACGGTTTCTTGGTGGTTCTTCAGACATTACTTCTTTCTTCTTTTGTTGACGAAGGGCACGAGCGTGAGCAGCCTTTGCCTGGCGCTTTTGTATACGCTCTTTAAGGGTCGAACAGGCACTTTTGACGAGAGTCCATTCCTCCGTCGTAAGCTGTGCAGAAATATGGTTAGTTTGCCGCTGAGGCAACTGAACCACCTTATGCTTCCTCGACTCTAGGTACGCATAATAGTGGACCCCGTTGGTTTGTTGCAAGGCCTTAGCCAATTGACGAGCACGGCGCTGACGTTGTCTCTGACGAGCTCTTTTCGTCAGCACTGGTGAGCTATGATTCAACGACTCCTTAATTGGTGCGGAGTCACTTGGAGCAGAGATGTTACAGGTAGATTCCTTAGCAACAATTGGGAAAGAACCTTCACCTGCGGTCTTCATCGGAATCGAAGACTTGAAAACTTTCTTGGAAGAGGAAATCTTCCTGCACTTGTTAGGAGAGGAAGATTTCGAGGATGAGGATAACAGATACTCCTCGAATTTTGCCTGATCGAACTCATATTCGATCTCTTCATTGACTACGATCTTGATCGGCTGCGACACTGCGGCCTCGGCAGCGAGGCCGCTGGCTCCCACTGTGGTCGCCAGTTTGTTTTCGTCGAAAGTTATTTTCATTGATGATTCTATTGAAACTTAAATGTTTACATAGAATTATAATGAAAAATTGAGAAAATTATAACTCTCTTGGAAAATAACACAAAAATCGTTTATCGACTTTTGCTTTGTGAAACTTTGCCTATGCCGGGAGTGCTTTGACTCGTGGACCACCGATTCACTGATCGTGAGGGGGTTTGGAGATCCTTCCTTCGTTTATCGAAGTAAGGATTTGAAAGCGAATATCTTATCGATGTAAGATGTTCACTCTTCCAAAGATCAAGTCTGAGCTTAGATCTCTAGGAGTCACCAAGTGATGTTTATCAAAGGGTGAAAATTCTCTCTTTCTTCCTCAAAATCACCAAAAGCTCAAGCCTTTTCTACTCCAATCTGCTCTCTCTCCTTTGTTTCGTGTCTAGGAAGGTATTTATAGGGGTAGGAGTGCACAACAGTGGAAACGGGGATGAAATAACTAACCACCTGACATCTCTTTGGCCGCGCCAGTCTATACTGCCGCGGCTACTGGCGCAGCAGTATGGACTGTCGCGGCCAAAGGAGCGGTTACCACCACGTTTTATCGTGCTTGAAACTGTTCTCCCACGACCTTTAACCACTTTTTTCGAGGTTTAACTGCTTGTCTATGTCAGCACACGTTCTATTTCTGATATGCCGCCACGTGGACTTTAAAAATCATTGTATAACTGCTTTATAACCGCTACAGCATCCCTTGTAATAGCCGCGCCACCATAGACTGCCGCGCCTTAGGCGCGTCACCCT